CTAGAGTGAAGAAAGCACACTTTTTGGAATCAGCAAAATCTGCTTTCAACATCTGGCTTTGCCATTTAGCAGCTGTGAATCTGATTCTACTGAGCCTCAGTTTCATCAGTAAAATGTGGATAATGATATATAGATTTATGGCAAAAAACTAAATTGGACTAAATGAAATTGAATGAATAGAATCTTTAATAGGATTTTTGGTACATAGAAGTGAAGAAAACATGCAGACTTACAAAGTCAGTTTGTGATATACTGAGGGGAACATCTCAGGCAACATAGGTGGAAATGTAGATTTAAATTAAGACACGTAAGTGTAGACTACAGATATGTTTGGGAGCTATGCATTCATCCAACTACTATTTGGTGAGAGTCTACTATTCCGACAGAGGAGACTATGGATGGTAAAAAATCGACTGATAATTGAGGGAACGACAATCCAGATGATTAGAAAATAAGGACAGCATCAACCAGAGGTCAGGCACAATTGTTCAGTGGATACACTAGTTTCCAGGTATGAAGCTCTTTTGAGCGCGGAGCTAGAAAGGACCCTGGCTATTTGGAAATATCTTGGATAACCAGTAACTCTGGACGAAGAAAACTGAAAATCCAGAAAGTAATCCGTTTCGAGGGAAAGAAATTAGATAATTCATTTAGAGCCGGGCTAAACAAGGTACCCCAGCGCCTTCTTAGCGCAGTGGGCAGCGCGTCAGTCTCATAATCTGAAGGTCCTGAGTTCGAGCCTCAGAGAGGGCAGCTTTCTTTTCTTCGGCGTGTTCGTTTTCTTTGTTTTTGCACTCATTTACCTCTGGGACGTAGTTTCTTCTGCTGTGAAGTATCAAGAAGTGAGATTGTATGAGATTGTATCAGAGCCAGAGTCTTCCTACAATAACCGTTCGGGTCCCCAGCAGACATGCGCTCGCCGCTCCGCGCAACTGCTGTTTCCGGAGGGGTTCTGGAGACGCTCTGCCTTGAGGGCGGTGATGCTTGGGACTCCAGACTAGCCCTGAAAAACCACGCGGGGCATAAAACTTCTAGTGCCGCAATAACCACGTGCTCAAAATAGCCAATAGCGCAGAAACTGTACTTCACTAACTTCGCTGGCTGGTGCCTGCAGGGTCTACGCCCGAGGTCTTCGGCTGTGCATCTCCTTGCCCTCTTGGTCGGTAACAGCAACTTCCCAGATGACTACAGCTCAATACAGATATAGAAAACATTGACTTTTGGGGGGGGGGGGGGGGGGGGTGTCTTAAAAAATTTTTTTATGAGCCCGTAGAAGACAGGGAAATATTGGACATTGAAATATTGGAAGTGTAGTAAATCGGATCTTTCTGATTTTTTTCCTCGTATGGTTCCACACATGACAGGGCTGGCGATGTCTTAACTGACACTCCAACTTTGTAGCCGGTGGAGGAAAACAGTGGAAGAGAGATGGGGGATCTCGGAGCAGGCAGAGATAGATGCTCAAAGAGGAAGAAGGTCTGTGGGAGGCTGGGCTGGTCATTTTCCATCACAGCAATGCGCGGTGCTGTATGTCGGGTGGGTCCTCAACCCCGTGTTATAGAAGCCGAGAGATGTTAATTTTAATGGTGAAAAGTTAATTAAATGGCCAATGACGGGGACCTAAAGAAGCTAGATTACGAGAGGACTTGCGCGTCTAAGGTCTCCTAGTAGATGCCGGTTGGGGAGGGGATGGCAAAGAGCCAGAGAGTCGGGCAAAGGAAGGTTCTGACGCCCAGTGGAATTTATAGAAAATGAATTCACGCAGGAAGAGGGGGAAGAAAGAGAGTGTTGGGAAGTCTGTCCTTAACGAGATGCTTACCCATCTGCCTAGGACCCCATGATTACCGTCCCTGCCTGTGTATTTCAAACGTAACGCCGGTCCTGAGCAATAACTTTAGAAACCCTTCAAAATCATTAAAGGAAACAAAGAGGCCATTCTCATGTGCTACACGCAAAACCTGGATAGATTTTCCTCTTTTGTTTTAGAGGTTCCTGGAGATAGACACAGATATGCAAAAACTTCACAGCAGAAAATACTGAGAAGCAATTCCATCAGGATATTTATTTTTCATACAGTCTGACATGTCTAGATTGTCAGAATTATTAAAAAATAAACATACTGGGGGTGGTGGTGGGATGAATTGGGAGATTGGGACTGACATATATACACTAATATGTATAAAATGGATAACTAATAAAAAATATAGTGTCTATAAGAAACTCACGTAATATAGTTACTAATAAGTTTGCATACAGATTTACTATTTAATAATTTATTAATTGCTTGTTCCTTTTTTTTTTTTTTTTGCGGTACGCGGGCCTCTCACTGTTGCGGAACACAGGCTCCAGACGCGCAGGCTCAGCGGCCATAGCTCACGGGCCCAGCCGCTCCGCGGCATGTGCGATCTTCGCGGACCGGGGCACGCACCCGTGTTTCCTGCATCGACAGGCGGACTCTCAACCACTGCGCCACCAGGGAAGCCACCGCCCCTTTCTTTTTCATATTTCTTTGTTCCTCTTCCTTCCTACCTTCATTTGACTTATTTAAACATTGTTAGTAGGTGGTCTAGTGATTACCCTATACATCCTTAACATCTCACAGCATACTTGGAATCAATAAATTACCATTCAAATTGAGTATAGAAACCTATACCACCATTATGTACCTTTGCCATAAGCCCTTTATGATATGTATATAGTACATGTAGATATAATTAAACTCTATGAGACAATGTTGTAATTTTCACTTTCAATCATCAAACATACTTTAAAGAACTCAAGAGAATAAGTCTGTCATTTTTACCCACATCTTTCCTAGCTTTGCTATTGTTCAATCATGCTGTTCCAAGTGTCCTGCTGGTATCAATTTTCTTGTCTCACACTTTACTTTTTTCTAGCACTTCTGCTGGCAATGGATTATCTCAGTTTACCTTCAAATCAAAATGTATTTTTCACCTCTTTGTCTGAACGATATTTTTGCTATATCAGCATTCTGGTCTATTCTTCCAACATTTAAAAAAGTCATGTCATTTCTTTATGGCCTCTGTGGTTCTGATGAGAACAGATCAAAGTTTCCCTTTAGTTTTCCTCAGGTTGCTTTCAAGAAGTTTTTATTTTTTTCCTTTGGTTTTCAGCAGTTTAATAGTAATATGTCTGGGTGTGGCTTTATAGGAGTATATCCTGCTTCAAGTTTACTGAACGTTTTGAATCTGGTTTAGGTCTTTTGCCAAATTTGGAAAGTTTTCAAATTTGGAAATTCAAAATAAATTTCCCCCTTTTTCAAGGTCCTCTTTCTCCTCTTGTTTTGTGTCTCCAATGATGTGAATATAAGATCTTTGTTATTTTCCAACTTGTCCCTGAAGCACCAGCCATCTTTTAAAATATACTTTTCACTCTCTCATTTAGACTGGATAGTTACTATCATCTATCTTCACATTCACTGACTTTTTCTCAGTCATTGTCTGCTATTAGGACAGTCCATTGAGGCATTGTTGTTTATAATTTTGGTTAATACATTTTCAGTTCTGAAGTTTCAATTTGGACTTGTATGTCCCATTTTTTTGCTAAGACTTTCTAACATTCAATTCATTTCAGTTCTCACCCCTAATTCTCAGAGCACTGAATAATCACTACTTCAAAGTATTTATTAGAAGATTTCAACATCTGTGTCATCTCAGTATTGATATCTGTTGATTCTCTTTTCCAAGTCAGTTAACCAATTTTCCTGGTTCTTCATTTGCTGAATAATGTTGGATTATAACCTGGCCATTTTTGCATCAGACTTTGTGTCTTGTTCAAATTTTATGGAGAATATTGCTACTTTTGTTTTTGCAGTCAATTGACTGCCTTGTGTTAAAGTTCCGAGTACCAACCAGTCTTCTGCGTGTTGTGGTTTCATAGTGCAATCCATTCCCAAAGCCTTTCTGATGCTATTTGGAGATCTGTGGAGTGTGTGCAGTCCAGTGACCAGTGTGGACTTGGGCAGTGCACTATCACTTCAGTTCTCAAAGTTTTTGTTGTTTAGGACCTGAGTCACTTATACATAGATCATGGGTTCATCCAGAAGTTCACTAATAACTTCACGTGTTTGCTTTCCACAGTGTCTTTCTCGATATTTTCTGGTTACTTGGGGCACTCGGTTTCAGTCCCTGATGAGAACGCTGCGGCCTTATTGAACCCCGCTCTGTCCTGAGCTTCTCAGGACTGTGCCGCCTTGTGGCTAAATTGCAGGAAGAAACAGGAATAAAAAGACGAATTGGGCATACCCCTTTAGATGACCAGCTATTCTGAAGAAACAGAAAACAAATTATAGGTTGAAAATACCTGTACATACCGAAAGCCAGTAGAGCCAGCGCTGCCCTGCCTTGTCCTTGCCCAAAGAAGTGTCCAAAGTGTCTAATTTTCTCATTTCTTACTACAGGCTGGAAGATTGGCGCTCCTCGGTAGAACGAGTAAAACCTGGAGAATGTGGATATCGATCCCCCTACCTCTCGCATCCCAAGCGAGCGCTCTACCACTTGGGCTAACTCCCCTACACCAAACTCACTCGCTCTTTTTTCCCCCCGCCCCCCCTTCCTCCTTCAGCTTTTCAGAGTACTTCATTATTCGCTCTTTTGGAAGGCCCAAACTTCAGGAAATGTCAAGGCCATTAATGCGAAACAGAATTTAGACTAAGGGCACATCTTCTCAAAGATGCCCCAAAGCAAGAGCGCGGTTGGTACCTATTCCTCCGCTAAGAAAAGAAAGTAGCCATGGGAAAAGTTTGATACCCCAAAAGTTCACGTTTCAGATTTTCTGGGACAGAAGAGAACACGTCTCACTTGGGAGGAGTCACCCAGAACAGTTGGCTAATGCGACAAGACTACCTCAGGATGATTATCTGTGTCTTGAAAAGGAGACCGAAACAAGAAACCGAAAGAAGTTGGATGATCACTTGTTCCTTTTAGGGCAGGTGGTACACTGATTTTTCCCGGATGGTGGAAGGCAAAAGAATCAGCTGTTGTTTCCGCTCGGTTTCGAGCCGAGGACCTCTCGCGTGTTAGGCGAGCGTGATAACCGCTCCACTACGGAAACTCGCGTTGTGGTTTTTTCCCGGCATATTTATTTAATTCTTGCTGAGGTGGGTTATGAAAGGTTTCACATCTACACCGTGTGAGAGAATAACCAAAAACTACAAACTATTACAAGCAGGACCCATCGGAAATAAGAAGCGAGATCATATCAGAGAGAAGAAATAAAATATGGACACTGAGGGGTGAAGATGAAGAGTGAACAGGGTGGAAGGAACAGGCATGGAGGTAGGAATTCCTGTGTCCAGCAATTACCTGTTTAGTTGGAGTGGAGTGGAGTGTGTGCGTGCGTGTGTGTGTGTGTAAAATAGACATGGAGGGAAACAGTGATTGAAAAGCCTGGACACATGAAGATACATTGGGGAGAAAATTGTGGAGGCTTAAGAACCTTTGAAAAAAAATCCAGGCACATGGCTTTAAAATCAAAACATTTTATGAAACGTTTTTATTTTGAATGCCAAATAGGTAGGAAACGGAGAAACTAGAATTAGAGAGAGAGAAAAAGAAGTTATAAGGTATTAAAGAATCGAGGTTTATTTTTTTAGCTCCTGGGATTAGCAGTAGCATGAGTCTTTCTGCATCTCCAGCCCAGTACACTGTCTGGTACAGAATACATTTTCCATAAACATAGAATGGATAAAGGCATAGATGTATGAGAAGAAAGAGAAAGATTCTGGAGAGGTTGTCCAGGAAGGATCTACAGTATTTGAGTATATGTCAAGACACTGGATGTAGAGATTTTGAGGGAGAAGAAAGTGTCAAAGCCATGTATAGAACACTTGAACCTGGGTGGTAGACACAAGTGATTTTGAATTAATATCTGATGCATGGAAGATTAAATCCACTGATTTATAAGTATTTGTTTTAATAATGAATTAATGAATGAATTGGTCTGGATAAAAAGTGATAAGACTATGCACAGGGCTAAAGGAAAAGCCTACATTTTAATATAGGAAAAAAAAATCAGTTTTCCACTTCCGGTTTTGCTCCACACATCCATTCAAACTGAGAAAAAAATGGTTCAACTATTCTGAGCTTCAGTTTTATCAGTAAAGTGGGAATAATGATATTTGGATGAACTGCAAAGCCTAAATCAAATAACTTGCATAAAATTAATAAACATTTAGTACAATTTTCAGCATATGGTGCTGAAAAAGGATTTTTTTTTCATTCTTTCATAGCCTGTATTCCAAGTCCCCAGTGGTGGTCATCCTCTCAAAGGCTCAGAGAGGCAGCAAATGGAAAGAGGTAATCCCCTCGCAACCACTGTGGTGCTTTCTCCAGCCTGAAGATGCCTCCCTTCCTTGAGCCCTTAAGGGGAAGAAACAGCACAGTCTGATCTTCAGGAAGCAATCTCTAGACAAGCTAACCTTCAGAAATCCATCTCTGGGTGTCATTTTGGTAACATGTGTATAAGAAGTAAAACAGAACATCACTTCTCTTTCACATTTTAAAAGGAAATCAACTGGGCAAAGTTGGAATCCTACAACCCATAATCATATATGTCACCAAACTGTCACTGGTTCCCCAAAGAATAAAGTGGTTTCAAGATATTTTATTATCCTGAAAAGGCTACTACACTGTCTACATTGTCAGCATTCCAGATGTGACCACTGTCTCCGCTTTCTCCTTCCAGCTTCCAAGCTCACAGAATGTCAAAGAACACCTTATCATTATGTAACTTCTCACTTAATAACTGGAAATTTAAAGTCCACTTTGTCTGATATGAATATATCCACTTCGGCTCTTTTTGATTAATGCTTGTGTGGTGTCTCTTTTCCCATTCTTTACTATCAATCTCCTGTGTAACTTTAACCTTGTTTATAACATTTAATCTCATATATTAACACCTTTGAAAAGAGCTTCTTAAGGTCAGCATATTTATTTTTAGTATATTCTGACGATCTCTGATTTTTATGGGTGTGTCTAGATAATGTATATTTAATGGTATTATTGATAAATTTGCATATAGATTTACTATTTAATAGTTTATTAATGGTTTGTTCCCTTATTTTTTATTCTTTGTTTCTTTTCCTACCTTCTTTCAGCTTATTTAAACATTATCTGTAGCTGCTCTAGTGATTACTCTATACATCCTTAATATTTCACAGTATATTTAGAATCAATAAATTACTATTCAAGTTGAATATAGAAAACTCACTGCCATTCAGTCCCTTTACCATAATCATTTTATGTCATGTATATAGTACATGTAGATACAATGAAAACTCCATGGGACAATGCTGTACTTTTCACTTTCAAACATTAAACATACTTCAAAGAACTCAAGAGAAACATAATAGTCTATCCTATTCACCCAGATATTTCCTTCTCTGCTGTTGTTCTGATGAGAATGGAGTCATCATAGTTCAGGCATATAAAAATGGAGACATCTGCCATTGAGAATCTGGTCTCAGACACCTCCTTACATCAGTGAGAACTTGAATTTTCTTTGAACTTTGCCAAACCCAAGGATGCCATTTGCCCTGTTGAGAACAACATAACCAGCTGCAACTTTATGGTCTCAAGATTCCCCCTTGTAACTATGTAACCATCGCAGACCCCAACCAAACCTTGCTTAGCCAGTTCTCAAAGCCTATGGTATGTTGTTTAGGATCAGAGCCATTTATTCACAACTCATAGGTGCATCCAGAAGTTCACTAATAACTTCTTGTGTTTGCTTTCCTGATATTTTCTGGTTACTTGAGGTTCCTGGTTTCAATCAGTGACAGGAAAGCTGGGGTCTTATTGACCCCCGCTCTGCCCTGCACTTCTCAGGACTCTGCTGCCTTGCTGCCAAGTAGCTGGAAGAAACAGGAATAAAAAGAGGAATTGGGCATATCCCTTAAGATGACCAGCTATTCTGAAGAAACAGAAAATAAATTATAGGTTGATAGTAGAGGTACATAAAAAAGGCCAGTAGAACCAGTGCTGTCCTGTCTTGTCCTTGCCTGGAGAAGGATCCAAAGTGTGATTTTCTCATTTCTTTCTACAGGTTGGAAGATTTGCAGTTGTCAGCTGGAGCTCCGTGGTTCAAAGAGTAAAAGTTGGAGAATGTGGGTATCGATCCCACTACCTCTCACATGCTAAGCGAGCGCTCTACCACTTGAGCTAATCCCCCACTTATCACTCTGGCCCCTTTCCTCAAATATTTTAGAGTAATATCTCCACTTCATTAGTCACTCTTCTGGGTGACCCAAACTTCAGAAAATTTCAAGGTCCTTATTGTGAAACCAGGACTGGACTCAGGGCACAGCTACCCAAAGATGCCCTGAGGCAAGAGCATGATTGGTACCTATTCCTCTGCTAAGGAAGGGAGGAGAGAGTGGCCGTGGGAAAAAGAAGAAGAGACAGAGGGAACATTTTTGGACTTCACTGTTGAAGAGAAACTGGAAATTAAGAACCTGTGTAGAAGAAAATACATGCAAAAGGAAATAGGGTTTTAATTCTGTTCCAGTTTTCACCCAACTTTAAACTGTTATCAGTTGTGACTGTTTTATAACAGGAGTCCTAAACATCTGTGTTCTCTTACATCTTTATTTGTTATTCACTAATTACAGTAGAAGTAGAAGATTCTGTCTGGGAAAATTTTAAATTATACAGTATAAATAAGTTGTCATTCATCAATAAAATTCAAAACATCGAATAAGGCATAAAGAAAGAGTAAAATAAATCGACAGATGCAGAGATTAACATTTTGGAAGTTAATGAAATCATTTATTAAATTATTAACTGTTCAATATTTGATCTACCTATTCCTTAGCCTTACCTAATATTTTCATTTCAAGACAGAAGCCATATTTATGCCTTAACTTCAGGCACTGAGGACACAGTGAGGGCAAAACAGTGATTTGAGCCTAAAGATCCTTATATTCTAGAGGAGAAACAGGAAATTTAAGAAGAAAAACTTCATAAGACACTTTCTGAACCAGAGAGTGTTTGTGAGGAAGGTGGCATAAATTGATGTGATAGACTGAAATCACGATAAGAGACATTAGCTATGGGGGGGGGGGTGGTCTCAGTAGCAAAGTAACATTTGATTTAGCGGCTGAATGCCAAGAAGTAGGCACCTTACTAGGTCTGATTCAAAATGAAAAGACGTATGAGTTAGGAGCTGAGAGGTGAAGAAAGGCCCTCTGTGGACAACTGGGAAACTAGCCCAGACAGAGCCCGGTTACCAAATACCCACAGCAGAGCCAAAATGCGAGAAATTTTCCATCTCATTTGAAGACTGTGTGACTCTGGCCTAAGCAAATGTTGGGTGTGCTGAAGGAGCACCCATTCACAGAGTCTCCAAGAGCAGCATCCGCAGGATTCTCTGTGCCTGAAGACGTTTAATATCAAGTTGAAAGTGAGGGAAGTCTTTCAGTGAAAAGCAAAGTGCAAGGGCTGTTCACAGCTCAGCATGGCAGAATCATGACCCTCTTTATCTTTCCTTCCTGTCTTTGGACCTCATCTGGTTCTGATCGCTAGTGTTGATAAATATATTTCCTGCATTACCTGTTGGGATCCCCCACCCCCATTTTAAATCATATTTCAGCTGCCTGTGCAAAGAGGAAAAAATTTATTTTGGATTCTATGTGTGGAAAGTAAATACCGCCTGACTGTTTCATAATTTGAGAGATATTTCTGAAGGTGTTGATTTGAACTGTCATTGCAGGTACTACAACGTTTGGGTTGAGACAGGTGGGTAAGGAACCTCCTTAAGGAAGAACTACCCAAAGATCCTACTCCTATTCTTCTTTATGAGTTTTCTCTAAGAATTCCCCTAATTTCATATTTTCTTGTTTGTTTTGTTTTTGACCATCTGGGTCTTTTTCGACCCCTTCCAGACCCAGGAAGCTCAGACCTCACACCCACAAATTCTTTTGTACATCTTGTCTCTCTAGGTGTCCCTTAACATCCTTCCCTCTTCTCCCAGGTCAATAGACCCCATAAATGTCAATTACAAATAGTGGAAAGACCTTCTTTTCATCAGGATCTCTCTGTTTGGAAAACAGGGGT